GCAGCTTATTTTTTTGTGTAATGCTTCTGGATCAGTATGAACAAATGCAAAGACTGCTTGTTGCAATATGGGAGCTCTTCTGTTAATGTCGTGAAGCTCTCTGTAAGCTGCAGCACAAGTCCTCTGAAATTAAACCCTCTACCAGAGCCAGGAGTTTCTGGGTGTCTCTTTTTCTCTTACTAGTGTTAAACTTGAACTTTGTCTTCCTTGGTCATGCTTCATTGAAACTTCTGTCTTGCGGGAAGGTGGATCTGTTAGAAAAGTTCAGTCCACCTCGAAATACCTTAGACCTCAGATGTATCATCTTCAAGACAAAAATTGAATTAATCTTCCTCTGGCCCAGCTAAGTGGAAGCAGACCTCCAAGGCTGGATTCGGCCACCTGACCCTCTTCTTTCCTTCAGATCAACAAATAAATACACAGTGTCCCCATGGGAAAGTGGCTTTTTTGTTTGGTTTGGGTTTTTTCTGGAATAGTTGTTGTTCTCTGAATTGCTACAGGATGCTCCGAGACACTAAGGAAAACTCTTGAACAGCGTGATGTGTCTGTCCTTGTGCTCTGAGGTTTTAAAAGAGGATATTGGAGGAAGCGTGGCCTGTTTCTTAGGGTACTTAGTGACTGAGGAGGTCTGCGTCTGATTCCTTACAGCAACTTTCTGCAAGGTCTCTGTTAAATTGTGTTTTATTGCTGTGAATGCTTAAATGTATGTATGTAACTGGGCAGCAACCCTGCTTTCATCTTCTAGTGTAGAGTCCAAATGATTGAGACAGCAACACTTATGAAAGCTGAAGGGAGAATAATAGAACTATGTCTTTATTTAGCTAAAGGATATGCCTGATGGCTTCAGAGGATAGAGGTCATAGTATCAGGGCAGTTATCCCAAATTATTAACTGCTGGTGGCAGTATTTTTCTGAAAGTGGTGATATTTCCATTGTCTTTCTTATTTTGAAACATCTGGTTTGAATTTTTTGCTTTACACACAGGCTAACAAAAGAGTAAAGCAAACTCCTTTTTGAAGGAAGGTTGTTTTGCAGAGTTCTGGTCTACATTTCTGGAGTTCAATCTTGTGCCACCTCATTCACTGTGCAGTTGGTTGCGCTGCTGAGGATATAAATCCTGTAATACTGAATAGGAGTCGACTTTGTTGCTGTGGTCAATATGTGTTGCCTTAAAAAAATACACAGTATTTCCCTGCTTCAAGAAGGGTTTTCCTCTGTGAGGTTGTATGTCAACAGACTCAAAATTGGTGTAGGTAGATGGTCCTAAATAGATATGACTATTTAATGCTTTTGTGGAAATACACGATTTTAAAACTCTGAATGCAGTGGTTTCTAATGCAGCTTTTATTAGATCAGCGTCTTATAATGTAGCTGTCAGGAATATCATAATGTATCTTGCAAAAGAGAGAAAGCACACGGGTTTGGGGAAGCCCTTAGATGAAGTACCGTCAGACTAGTGACGGGCAGTCCTGGTCTCGTCTCCTCCTGCTTCACACCCCGAGTAAAGGATGGGGTTTACTGCAGGGCTGTTAGGGGCGAGGTTTTATTTCCTAGTCCCAGATTTCATATCGTGGTCCTACAAAACGGTTTAGGCAGCTTTTTTTTTTCTTTGTGCAAAGCAGTGGTGTCTTCCATAGACACTTTGCTTCGATGTTGCTCTCTTCCAAGTGCGAGGAGATAACTGGGGGTAACCCCGCAGCAGAGGGGATCCCTGATCCAGGCTGCGGTAGCTCCTTAGCAGAGGTGCTGTTGGTCTGTCTCGGGAAGGGCCTTGGGGGAAGGTGCGTGCAGTATCACGGCTTGGCCAAGCAGCTGCTCTTCACCTTGGCCGGGCAGACCGACGTCCATCCCGGCTCCTGGTGCCCTGGACGTGGTCTGTGGGCTGACGAGAAGCGTTTGCAGCAGCTGCCGGTGCTCGGTTGTGCATCGAGAGCGTGAACGGCCGCTCTCCTTCCGTGCTGCCCGGCTCCCTGGCCGAGCAATCCCAGGCTTGGCCGGCGGGCTGTGAGGTGTGCTCCCCCTCCCCCTAAATTTTGTTGTGTTTTTTTTCAAAGATAGAGTATTCAGATTGCTGATGAATGCAAACTTCCGTTGATCACACTTTGCTGCAGATGTCTTGTCATTCTGTTATCAGCACATGTCGCCATTGAACTAGTTCAGGATGAAGATTTTCCTCCTTGTGGTATCCCGGGAAAGCCCGGGGGCCGGCAGGCGTCGTCTTTCAGCCTGGCCTTCCTCGCCCAGCCTGAAAATAAAACTAGGAGGACTCCACGATGCGGTCCGGTGACTCTCTTGGGGCTGCTTTTTTTGCTGTTTCTTCCTTTTTTTTTTTTTCTTTTTTTTTTCCCCCCCTTGAAAAACGCCAAGCGACCCTTGGCACGGGTGCCCGTGGCGGGTGGCAGGGACCCCCGGGCATGGCCGCTCCATTTTCTCTGCCGGCACCTGAGCCTGACCTCACCTCACAAAATGAAGGCCGGGCAGCACCGGCCGGGACCGGGCGGGGGGACGT